CGAAGACTGAGGGGGGAGGCGGGAGTGTAAAGCACGGGCTTCTAGGATATGCCCTTTGGTCGGAAGACGATGCATGGAGGGGATTTGAACCATGGCAATGTAATGATATATGTTGGGATGAATATGGAACTGAGGTTCTCTCATGTAAACTATCATATAATTCACAATAAAACATTAAAATAAATAAATAAATAAAAATAAAATACTAGGCAGTCTTACTCCTGAGTGTTAAACTGAGCCCCTCCCTCTGTAGTTTTGCAGGTATCTGGGCTAAATGTGTTTCCCTGAAAAGACCTGTAGAGAAAACAGTCTTTAAAGGTAAAAAAGGATCTCACAATTAAAGAATCATAATATTGTGAATTTAATAAACTAATATATAAAAATACTTATCACAGTTCCTGACTTGTGGTAGCCACTCAATACATTGTAGCTTTCAAAACTATTATGGAAAAACCTTTAGATCGTTGAGGGGGAAAGTCTAAGGGAAAATGGAATTAAAAGAAGTCCCCTCATATGTATGTAGTGCCCAGTTTACAGTGTATTCATTTAAAACGAACTGCATTTATGACCATCCTTTTGTTTTGTTTTGTTGGGGTGTTTTATCATTATTAATATACACTGCATACATGTTGCAACACATAATTTGCTGATATCACCACATCTGTAACTTTATATGGAAAGTTTCCAACCACATAAAGATTGAATTTACAAATATACTGATAATATAAGGCAATAATAATGAAAAATTAAATTTTTTTTTTTTTTAAAAAAGAGGTATTTGACTTGTCATCAGAACTCACTGACTAAAGAAGTAGGCAGAACAGAACACTGTCATAAATCAAGGGTTACTTGAATTGTTCCTTATTTATTATCTTTTTATCTGACATTTTACAACTACAATAATAGTATAAATTTACTGTCTGACTATTTTGTGCATTAACATCTTACAAAGTGAGACTATTGCTGGTTGTGATGGTTAAGATTACCTGTCACCTTGGCTAGGCCAAGATTCTCATTGGCATGACAATTATGTAATTATGTAATCTGGCAGCTATAGAATTATATAATTTGCCAGTTACATAATGATGTGGTTATTTTCCTGTTTTTGTATAACACTGATTTTCGTGTAACAACCTGGTCTTTGGAACATAACCGCATCTGTAAGTGAGAAGTGGGTGTCTTACTATCAGGAGTACTTCTCAAGAGGAACCCTATGAAAGGCTAAAGGGAATTAATTCAATTTGGCAGCATAAGTAGTTAAATATGCTTTTTTCTGCAGCACCTTTAACAATTCACTAATTTATTTGAAAAGATTTATGTATATTTAATTTTACATAAATATGCTATTTTAACATAAAAATAGCATATATTTTTTAACCACAAGGTTGGCGATTCAAACCCACCAGCCACTCCTTGAAAATCCATCACTATGGGTGGGAACTGATACTACAGCACTTAACAACAACAATGCTATTTTAAATAATCTCCAGGTTGCATTAACTTTCCCTACTCTTATTAGTGGAGCTCTGGTAGCGTAGTGGTTACGAATCGGGCTGCGAACCTTAAGGTCAGCGGTTCGAAACTACCAGCTGCTCCGCAGGGGAAAGATGAGGCTTTCTACTCCCGTAAAGATTTACACCCTCGGAA